CTATCTATCTATCTATCTATCTATCTATCTATCTATCTATCTATCTATCTATCTATCTATCTATCTATCTATCTATCATCTATCTATCGCTGCTTTCCTAGTCTTATTTGTAGCCAAGGTGCTTTCTTTCACCCCAAAAACCCAGGTCTCCCAAGGATCCACGTTTTTTTGGATGGGCGCAACAGTGTCTCGTAAAAAAAAACGTGAACAATGGGAGGATGCGAGCCAGGGAAAACAATTTCGAAGCACAAAAGGGTCAGAGGAAGGGAGGGTCCCGTTTTTCCGAGTTATGACCAGCCATGAATGCGAGACCCGAGCCAAACTATGCTCTGGCAACAGATGTTCGCTCCGAGCCAGGAGGAAATTCAGAGCCAGATTCCAGAACGAAACACGCTTGGCTTCCTAGGGTGAAGAGAAAAAAATATATATTTCTATTCAACAGTGGTTAATAATCTAGAATCTGGAGGGGGAAAGAGATCTAAAATAAAATAAAGATAAAATCCTCAAATTACAATGGTTCATTCAGCTACAACAGGGCGGAAAAATGGGACTTACAACCATTTCCCCACACTTATGACCACTGAGGCATAACCACAGTGGCGTGATTAAAATTCAGATGCTTGGCAGCTGACTCATATTTACGACTGTTGCGGGGTCCCCTGGGGTCATGTTCTCACAATCAAAATCAGAGTCACTTAACGACGGTGTCACTAACTCCGTTGTGATCCCCTTAACAACTGTGGCAAAAAAGGTGGGGAAAGCGAGCCAACATTCGCTTTTAACCTCTGTCTCTCTTAGCCACAGAAAGGTTGGGCTCAATGCAGGTTGTAGGTCAAGGACCACCGGTAAAGTCCTCGACTTACGGCCGGAAGAATGGTAGTCCTCGGGGTACGACAGGGGTCTTTTTACCCGTTCTGCCTCCCCAAAATTAATTCGAGGGTTTTTTTCCCCACCCCCTTCCAGCTCTGACTTTCCGCGAACAACAGTGCGCTGTGTACAACCACCGAACGGACATGTTCAAAGATTATCCATCACCCATGGATTGGGTGCCACGCTACAGCGGGGTGGCCAAGCGTGATCAATGCAAGCTGACTTGCCAATCCCATGCCTTGGGCTACTATTATGTACTGGAGCCAAGGGTAAGTTCTAAGCCAGGAAACCGGCCCTTCGGGAACGTTTGGGGGGTATCGTCCTCCAGAGGTGCTCCTGCGGTCGCCAAATTCTCCTCCCGCGGCCGCCGTCATCTGGAACGCCGCCGATCGAGGCCACAGGTCTAAATCGGGATTGCCTCTTCCTTTTCAGGTGGCTGATGGGACGCCCTGCTCTCCGGATTCTACCTCGGTCTGTGTCCAAGGACGCTGCGTCCACGCCGGCTGCGACCGCGTCATCGGGTCCAAGAAGAAGTTTGACAAATGCATGGTGTGCGGCGGAGACAACTCGCGGTGCACCAAAGTCTATCGCTCTTTCACCAAGCCCCAGTAAGTGGCTTAAGATGTTGAAAAGATGGTTTGAAAAAGAGATTGGAGAACCCTGGGTCTGAAATGGTGCAGGGTTTTCTGCTTGGGCAGGGCGTTGGACTAGAAGACCTCTAGAGTCCCTTCCAACTGTGTTATTCTGCTATTTTTTTCCTTCCTTCCTTCCTTCCTTCCTTTTATTTTCCTCCTTCCTTCCTTCCCTCCTTCCTTCCTTCCCTCCTTCCTTCCTTCCCTCCTTC